TGGGAAGAGGAGGTTTCCAGAGAACAGCTGCAGGAGGCTCCTTCATAATATCTGCAGTTCCAATGGGACCCAAGCCTGATGTGTTCCCACCATGTAAAACTATTGATCTTGATGCCAGAATAGAACATGATACAGTCATTTTGTGATGGACTGCCTCAGGAAATTACCTTGATGAAGGCTGTCGTGGTTTTATGCCAGCTGGCAGCTAAGCACCATGCAGCCACTTGCTCACTCCCCTGCAGCGGGATGGGGGAGAGAACTGGAAGAGTGAAAGTGAGACACTCATAGGGTGAGATAAAGGCAGTTTAATAGGTAAAGCAAAAGCTGCACATGCAAGCAAAGCAAAACAAGGAATTCATTCACTGCTTCCCATCGGCAGGCAGGTGTTCAGCAATCTCCAGGACAGCAGGGGTCCATCATGCAGGACAGTTACTTGGGAAGACAAACACCATCACTCCGAATGCTGCTTCCCCCGCCATCCTTTCTCTTCCTCAAGCCCCTTATAAGCTGAGCATGACATCATATGGTATGGAATATCCCTTTGGTCAGTTGGGGTCAGCTGTCCCGGCTGTGTCCCCTCCCAGCTTCTTGTGCACCCCCAGCTACTCACGGGTGGGGCAGTGTGAGAAGCAGAAAAGGCCTTGGCTCTGTGTGAGTACTGCCCAACAATAACAAAAGCATCTCTATATTGTCAATGCTGTTTTCAGCACAAATCCAAAACATAGCCCCATACTAGCTACTATGAAGAAAATTAACTCTATCTCAGCTGAAACCAGGGCATTAACCACACCTTATTCCATACTATCATGCTCAGGTCCCATACAATCCAATACATCCTCATTAACCACCCCCCCTTCTCATCTTTGATATAATACGTTGATATCATTCCCTTAGTCTATGGACCGCTCTTGTAAAATGTCCACAAAATGTCCACAAAATGTCTATTGAGGTCATTTAGCCCATGACTTCAGGCTCCATCTGTCCTAACAGTCTCTCAGGGCAGTTTTTGGCTTGCTATCCTGCCTCCCACCCAAGCTGAAATTGCAAAATGAATACATTTTTTGTGTGCATTTTAAATGAGCTCCCAACCTTTATCAACAGTATTCTGTTGCATCTGGAAGCATGAGTACAAGTGCCAGTTCAGTATTTGTGCTTTGTAGCAGAAGCTGAAGACTGCACATTTCTCATTCTTCATCATTAATCAAATTTTTGTTAACTATAAATGGCTTAAATGTGCTGTTCTAGTAATTCAGTGTGATACACATCACACAACACAGGATCTGTAATGGAGTTTAGTCTCACTGACACCAGTGGGAATTCTGTGCAGTGCTTCCACAGCTTTATTCTTGCTCTGCTCTTGTAAAGATTTTAAATTGAATTAGCCGGTAAGTTTTTAAAGTGCTTCTTCCAGTTTTGATTGAAGGCTCACTTTCACTATGTTGTAGATTCTGCTGTTCATGGAGGAGACATATATACTCTGTGAATGTAAGGAAAGAGTAGAAAGAAACATCAAATTTGGGCAAGAAATAAGAATTGTACTTCACTTAGTGTAAGGCCAAATTCAAGGAAGTCAGAAATACTATACTTGAGTGTAGGTTCATGATGAATGCCATCATCTATTCATTTCAGTGCTGTGATGTGAGAAATTTAATCATTCAAGCACTCAGGTAATAAAATAAGTTTTTTTCAGATCTATCTGCCATGCTGCATTTACTTTTCCCAGTAGCTGAACTAACTAATGAAACTGATATTAAGTAAGTAGTAGTTTGAAAGTATTTTGAAAGAGGTCAAAAGTTTGAATGACAGCTAACACACAGGACAGTATCTTCTATTTTCAGCTGCAAGTTATGAAATCAGAACAAGTGAGACTCCTCTGGAACTAAGAGGCAATTTGTATAACACTGCTTTTGTGAATACTTCCCCTCTATCATCTGAGCATGCTGGCTGCAAAGGTAAGTTAAAAAGTTTCGCTCACCAGTAGCGTGGAGTGTTTAAAAAGGAATCGGTTGTTACTATTTCCAAGGCTTCAGTGACTGCTAAAGACAAATTGAAAACAATCATTATTTTGTATTAGTGTGAAAAAACCCTGGAACAAACCACACAGAGAAGAATTTAGCTAATTTTTCTGGCCAATATTTCAGAAAAAGTGGGATGATATCATTTCATACCATGACCATCAGGAGTTATTTTTTGATACAGTAGGAAAACTAATAGAGGTAAATCTTTAACCTGAATACTTTTAAATGCACATGCCAGGATAAATTTCACATAGTAATTTTAAAAGAATTGTGTAAGACCTTCAGCATCAATTTACTCTCTTGATTATTAATGACTCTTACAATATCACCAAGAAGACATGGTATTTTTAAAAAAGGTAGAGGGGGTGACCTGCAAAATTATTGAAAAATCTGCTTAACATCTGTTCCATAAAAATAATAGGAAATTTGATATAGAATTCAATCAATAATGAATTAAAGTATGAAAATATAATCAGTATCAATCACTACCACATTTATTCAATTTCAATTATTTTTAATGCAATTATGAATTTAACTAACAATACAGCTATAGCATGAGATATTTGTGAACTGATTACTGTGTGACAGTCCAATCAAAAATATAGTACTATGTGGGATTAACTAAGCACCTCCTTAACGAATTCGGAACTACCTAGCTGGCAGGGAAACACCATCTAAAAGACATTTCTCAAATGATTGCAAATCAGTGATTGGCATTATGCTATTAAATACTTTATCAAGGAATTGGAATAAAATATAAAGTCATTTCTGCACAAGTTTCTTTGAGTTCAAAGTGAGAAATGATGAGGAGGGATAGGACAGTCACAAAGAGCAATCTGGCTTGCTTAACAAACCATGTCCACTCGAGAAAAACACTTTTTATTCCAAATGAGATGGTTATTAATCTAAAGGCAAACAATGCCATTTAAAAGGGGAGATTTTATGTACCAAATATTGTATACAGAACTTATCAGCATTTTACTATCTCACTGATCTAATCTTGCTTTTTCTATTGTTTCAATTCCATCTTACATAATTACTGCATTGTTCAGGATTTTTTTTTCAGGAAATTCCAATTGTGGTTTTGCAATTATTTCTCTCTTCTAAAATTGAATAACAGAGCATAGATCACCTGAAGAGGCATAAGGAAATTGAATGGGGGGTTTTTAGTGCACAATAAAGTATCAAGTATTTCCTCCTAAAATTAACATATAACTAAATGCAGCCAACATATCCGATATAACTGTACTTGCATAGAACATCAGTGTCTTGTTGCAAACTGTTACACCTCTTTTCAACACAAAGGTAGTGTTAGAAGCAAAGAGCAGGTGTGAATCCTTCAGGGATGAGGCACAACACTCAGCAAGTGAAAGCTTTGGCTTTATGGATAGCGTAGTGTTACCACGGTGGGAGCCCCGGAACACTGACACTAATCAAAACGGGGACCCGATGCAGCAGAGCCCTGCTCAGGAGTGAAGCTCAAGGGAAAGCACCACAGGGCTGGATAACAAAACTTGCACTGATTAACATATCATACATAAGCAGGTCCTGTTGTCCAAATGCCAAGACCTGCCGCTGGCTGTCACGTTGGCAGCCATGCAATGTGGGGGAAGTGAACAACCCCAGGTTACTATGACAACAAGATAAGACATGTACTTGGATGGAAAGAAGCAAACTATCCCAGGCTGCTGTAACAAGAAGATAAGATGTGCTTGGGACTTTACATACTGGGGGAAGTGAACCATCCTAGGTTACCATAACAAAGTCTTCTCACGCCCTACAACGGTCATATAAATAACACTGATAAGCCATCGCTTTTCTAACCAAGAACCTCACAGACAGGGACAAGTAATGAGGGTGACTGGGAGCTTGATATTTTTGCTGTCTTTTCAGCTCCTGCATTTGGCAAAAAGTTCTATGGTATGGCTAAATAAGAATGGCTATGAGGATTTGGTTGTTGCAATTAATCCCCAGGTGCCAGAAGATACCAACATCATCCTGAACACGATGGTAAGAACATTTGCATTTACATGCTTTGTTTCTCAGCAGTTGTCACTTGACTTTTCTGCTTGGAAAGTAGCATGAATCAGGTCCAGCTCTCATTCTTGTCAATAGGTTTTTTTCTTGTCATTTTGAATTAATCACGGATTAATCCCATAGTTACTAAAGTAGTAATTTCTAATTTGTTTTGCCATCTGTTGTTGCTACTAAGAGCACTAATTCCCTGAGACAATGCTGTAATACCTCTTTTGGGAGGCAGACTGAAATTCTGTTAAGTATGTGGTGAATTGACCCTGCTGGAGGCCACGTGCCCATTGAAGCTACTCTATTCCTCCCCTTCTCAGCTGGACAGGGGAGAGAAAATATAACAAGATGGGTAGAGATAAGGACAGGGAGATCACTCACCAATTACCATCACAGGCAAAACAGACCTGACTTGGGGAAATTAGTTTAATTTATTATCAATAAATCAGAGTAGGATAATGAGAAATAAACCCAAAACTTTAAACACCTTCCCCCTACGTCTCCCTTCATCCCGGGCTCAACTTCACTCCCAAATTCTTTACCTCCTCTCCCCAGCAGCACAGGGGGACGGGGAATGGGGGTTGCGGTCAGTTCATCACACATTGTCTCTGCTGCTCCTTCCTCCTCAGGGGGAGGACTCCTCACACTCTTCCCCTGTTCCAATGTGGGGTCCCTCCCATGGGAGACAATCCTCCATGGACTTCTCCAACATGACTCCTTCCCATGGGCTACAGTTCTTCACAAACTGCTCCAGGGTGCAGACCTTCAGGAACAGACTGCTCCAGCGTGGGTCCCCCATGGGGTCACAAGTCCTGCCAGCAAACCTGCTCCAGGGTGGGCTCCTTTCTCCACAGGGCCACAGGTCCTACCGGGAGCCTGCTCCAATGTGGGCTTCCCGTGGGGTCACAGCCTCCTTCGGGCATCCACCTGCTCCAGTGTGGGGTCCTCCATGGGCTGCAGGCAGATACCTGCTCCACCATCAACCTCCATGGGCTGCAGGGGGACAGCCTGCCTCACCATGGTCTTCTCCATGGGCTGCAGGAGAATCTCTGCTCCGGCACCTGGAGCACCTCCTCCTTCTGCTTCTTCACTGACCTTGGTGTCTGCAGAGCTGTTCCTCTCACATATTCTCACTCCTCTCTCTGGCTGCAGTTGCACAGGTGTTTTTTCCCCCCTTCCTAACTATGTCATCCCAGAAGCGCTACCACTGTTGCTGACGGGCTTGGCCTTGGCCAGCAGTGGATCCATCTTGGAGCTGTCTGGTATTGGCTCTGTCGGACATGGGGGAAGATTCTAGCAGCTTCTCACAGAAGCCACCCTTGTAGCCCACCCTGCTACTAAAACCTTGCCATGCAAACCCAAGACAAAGTAGCTTTCCAAATTATGTTTACCTGAAAGAATGTCATATGAATGCTTGTTTAATAGCCATTGATTATACTATTGTTTGTCATTAGCTAGTATGTCTCATAATGTTCCTTTTAAAATTGTAAATGGCAAAAAAAAAGGTTAGGTTTAGTGGCATTTCTGGGCTTAACTTTTATTCCAATCCACACAGATGATAAATGTATAAATTCCCCTGGAACAGGATGCTGGCCAGGTTTCAAAGCAAAGAAATTGTTTTCTACAAAGTCAAATCATTTTAGAGAAAACCTGCTGCATGGGACACTTCTCACAAATGCCCAGGTTCTCCACTATGTATAATGCCTACTAGACCCTGATGTAGGATTATCTCAGTCCCATGTCATCTCTAAGATCAAGTACGAAGGATACCATAAAATTTTTAGCATTTCCAGATTTCTTTCATCTTGTGAGAAGAGGTTTACATGAAGTAAAAGTGGATCTGATAGTTTACTTTTTACCATCAGTCACTGACTGTCCCATTTTTTAACAATAAGTAGAGTTTAGATCACTCCATTTTCATTAAGGTACAAACCACAGAATGTTTTTAGGGTAGAAGTGTACGAGTGATAGTTACTGTTACTGTGAGATACTGACAAGACATTAAATTCACATTCTAGCTGACCTTATGAGAACTTGCTGTTATACCATTCCCTCAGTTCCCCTGAACTAGTTAAAACTGCTCTGTTCTATCTGCAGAGCAGGCAAGGGGTCTCACAGGGACACATGGCATGTCCCATCACCGCTCAACTTCTCATGGATTAGCACTTGCTATCGCTCTCAGACCTGGCAAACTGAATCTCTTCAAGAAATCTCCTTTAGCTGAATTTTATGTACAATGTAACATGGCTATTTGATGCCCCTGTCACAGCCTGTTTCTTAGTTTATGAGAAGCCTGTGGGACAGATTTTAGTTTCCTCCTTCCTGTTTGGTTTTTTTGCACTGAACACTTAGTGGAGAGGAAAAAAACAAAGGGAATGCTTTTTCTGATGCCTCTACTCCAAAACAGGTGGTAAAAGAGCAGGAGGAAAGGAAAGTAATGGCAGCATATAGTAGCCATAATACAAATAAGAAGAAATGTGAAACAGCGAATTTGATTGGAAAATTGTGACATTAGTCAGATAAATGAAGAGCAGGTGCAATGTTGAATCTTGCCCATGCTAGCTGCTGGGCCAGTATTAATTTAAGGGTAAAATCCTCGTATTTTATAGCTTTCTTCTCTTATGAAGGCTAGAGTGTGAATTTTGTCACAATCTCTGATTAAGAACAGGATTATAGAACTGGTGAGAGATTCCAAGAATTACAGCTCAGTCCTTGCTTCTATGTTTATTCTTTTCTTAGCAAAGATTGTAATACTTTCTTAGTTTTGTGTTATGTACTTAGTTCTACCTTATTGTACTGCTGTTTCTTGATAAGTCTACATTATTCATTGCACATACAGTCAAATTTTTAATATTTCCATTGATACTACTATTTTTTCATTCCCTAGAACATGATTAAAAATGCTTCTAATTACTTGTTTGAAACGACAAAACATCGTTTTTTCTTCAAGTCTGTAAAAATTATAATTCCTAAAACATGGAAGAAAAACCCCAACTATTCAAGATTAAAAACAGAATCATATGACAAGGTAAGATTTAGAGAACTCTTTCTGATTACAACAAGAAAAAGTTAAACTGATAAGGTTACATTACAAATCAGAGCAAAATCTAGGACTAATCCTGGAAGTGCTTATTCAAAAGTGTTGAGTGTTCATAGGATAAAAAAATTGCAGGACCGAATTTATTCAACAAGGATCACTTAACTCTTCTCTACACCCATGTCATGTATAACTTTGGTCTTTCTCTTTCAGGCAGATGTCATCATAGCAGACCCTAATATAAAATATGGAGATGATCCTTATACCTTACAGTATGGAGGATGTAGGGAGAAAGGACGTTACATCCATTTCACACCTAACTTCCTGTTAAATGACAATTTGACTAATGTTTATGGAGAAAAAGGTAATACTACTATTTAATTTAATTGCCTGATTTATTGTTGGTACAAAATAGCCAAGATTTTTCTAAGTGATTAATGAATTTGGGTACTTTAGTTTGCTTGCTAAAATGAAAAAAAAAAACAACCCAAAACTTTGCTAGATATATTTTTCAGAAATAGTAAATACTTGTGAAATGTCTGAAGCGAAAAATACCCACAATGGATCCAGAAGTTGTTCATCTCTTTGAAAACCTTAAATGTTTATTCCATTGCACTTAACTACTGCCATTAGCAGTAGCCTTCCTTTTATGACCACTTACCAAATAAACTATCCAGTGTTTATGTATTTGATTTTGTACTACACTGTGTCAAAAAATGTAAGGGTTGCTGCTCTGTGGAACAGAAACCTCACAAACACTAAATTTCCCTAGAAGATTTTTGCCAATTTGGAAGAAAGTTCCAGTTCTCTAGGACAGTTCCTGCATTACTGAGAGTCAAATATGAATAAAAATTCTAGTCCTGGTTGCTAAACTGATGCCTCCCTAGTTTTAGCTCAAGGAAAAATTATTATCCCAATTGCTTAAATATTTCACAGTCTTCCTGTATTACCTCAGATAATAATTATTTTAAATTCTTAAAATGTCTAAGTAAAACACCGAGTAGCTTTTAAACAGTTGCATTTAGAATGTGCATGCACTATTCTTTTTCAACAGGTCGAATTTTTGTCCACGAATGGGCTCACCTTCGGTGGGGAGTGTTCAATGAATATAATAACGACATACCTTTTTATGTGTCTAGAAATTCTGCAAGTGTTGAAGCAACAAGGTATTTCTTTTTCATATTTCTGCTTTTACATTACACAGGTTTAAACATTTCAATAATGTTTTCGATATTCTCATCATCTGTGCTGAGTTTGTACTTTGTAGAGTGTCCACAACCTGTTCGTAGGATTAAAAGATGCTTAGTCAGCAACATCTATTGCCTGCTCTGCGGCCCAGAAAACCACAGCTGCCTTCAGTGCTGTTTTGTAGAGGTTCAGGAGATCAGGCTGGATAATCTTTTGCTCCATGTGTAACTGCAGACTTCAGCCACCATTTGTTTTGTACTTATTTAACATAAACTTATTAAAGAGCAGTAATCAACAACACTGAAATTGGCTGCTGAAACCAATGTGATTTTAAAAAATTTCTACAAAGAGGGACTGAGATGGACTGCATGGATGTAGAGAAATAGTTCAGGCTTGCCTTTTTTTCCTAGCTCAGGCATACCAATATAGTCTTTTGCATTGTAGCTAGTAGCAGCCTGTAATTATCACGAGGAAGATCACAAAAGACCACAGGTGTTTTATGATTCTAACTATTTCTAGATTAGTTTGAGGACCCTGCCAGGCACACAGACAGCCTACCTACGTGCTTGTGCAGTGTCTAGTGCTGCGTCTAGAGCAATTTGGCTTTGGGCAGCTAAAATTCAAATAAATAACCAATTAAGACTGGGTTCTTAACCAGCCCTGCCTATCTTCTCTTTCCTTAGCTGTCCAGCTGGTGTGGCTGGTATACCTGTTTTCCAAGACTGCAGAGGAGATAAATGTGAGCCAAGAAGCTGTAGATATGATGGTCAGCTGTATGAAAAAGGATGTATATTTATTCCAGATGTACAACAAAATATCTCATGTTGTATTATGTATTCACAGTACATACCATCTGTAAGTATTACTATACCTTTCTAGCCTGACAGTTTAGTAACATTTGGTGTCTAGTCAGTTATTTCTGCTGGGGAGAATGATCAGTCAGGTGTTTCTTTAATTAATTTCCATTTCAAAGAATATGCATGATGCTATCAGTTCTATTAAACTTTGTTCAAAAGGGAAGACAAAGCAGCTACTGGAAATTATTTGACAGCTGTTTTCTGCCAATAAGGGTGAGATGTACTGCAGTCTCAGCATCCTTCTTGCTCTGTGTTTGGAGAATTAGGTCAACAGGCATAGAAGGGAAGCATTCTTGCCAAATGCCTTGTCCATAAGATAACTGCAGTTTTTGATCACTCCTTATGTAAACTGGCACCTCAACTGTGTGTCACCTGGTTAGGTCTATTACACTCCATTGCAGAGCAATATCTAGTCTATCTATCCTTAACAAAGAGGTAGAAGCCAACCTCTCTTGAAAGCAGCCAGAACAAACAGGCAGGCATCCTCATGCCAGCAGTGTACTGTTCCAGTGCTGGGACAGGGGTTAGCAGGACAGACAGTCTCCTTGCAGGCTAGATCTCTGTGGTACGGGGTCACAATTCCTCCAGCTATTGACCCTTGTTTGGGCAAGCTCTTTCCAAGAATTGTTATGGGTGCACTGAGTCTAGCTAGGATACAGTTAATTTTGTTCATAATGGATCATATGGTGCTGTGTTTTAGATTTTTGACCAAAACAGTACCAACAACACACTAATGTTCTAGCTTTAGCTGCACAGCATCAAGACCTTTGTTTCTCACTCTGCCCCTCCTCTTGAATAGAATGGGGAGTGTGTGGTACGCTGGAAGAGGACACAACCAGGCAGATGACCCAAACTAACCTAAGAGATATTCTATACCATATAATGTCATGCACAGCAATAAAAGTGAAAACGGGGTTTTCAGAGGGTTAGCCATCTTATGCTCTGGAACTGGCTGGGTGTCTACCCACAGGAGGTGGTGAGTGGTTGCTTTTGCATCACTCGTCTTGTTTCTTCTCTCTTCTTTCACTTATTAAAGAATTTTTTTGCTTTTTTTTTCTTTTATCTTGACCCTAAAGGTTTTTTTTTTTCTTTTATTCCTCCTTTCTTCTTCCCCTGTCCTACTGGGGAGGGGAAGTGTGGTGCTTGTCTGCCCACCAGGGTTAACCCACAACAACTGGTCATGGCCTTCCCTCACCAGTATGCCACGGACATCCTTAGGCAGCTAAAAATTTATTTCCTGCTTCTCTCAAAGTCTTGCCTTTGTATCTTTTGCGTGTTTCCTTATTCCACTCAAGAAAACTTAGAGAAACTGCTCCAAGACCATCAGGTTATCCCAAGAAGTTGGTTAACTATTTAGGCTGCTAACTTGTGCTGACCGCCATGCTGTTCAGCTACAGTATCTATGTTAGCAGGCTTAAATCTAATGGACCTCCATGAATCAGTCACTCCAAGAATATCAGTGCTTGCAGACTGAAAGCTTTGTTTCTGCATGTGCAACATGCTTGTGCTTATGTAAAATCTGAGGTAAGTTCTTTGGGAGTACTTTCTTCGCTTGCCTCTTCTAAGATTCTGGCTGGCCAGGCACCGTGGCACAGAGGACATTTGCTGGAGAAGAACCCCTCTGCTTGTCCTGTCCTCCACCTTCATATTTTCTGAGATATTTTCTTATGCTCGTACTGTTGGGTTCAGAATTATTATCAGCTTCAATCTGAATTTTTAGGTGGTTGAATTTTGTGATAAAAACACTCACAATAGTGAAGCTCCAAATATGCAGAATAAGATATGCAACCACAAAAGCACCTGGGAAGTAATTATGGAATCTGACGACTTTCACAATTCGGCTGTTGTAAATGCTTCTGTGCCCCCCTCTGAGACTAATTTCAGGCTACTGCAGACCCAAGACAGAGCAATTGCTTTAGTACTGGATGTTTCTGGGAGCATGTCAATGGTAAGAATACATATTTTTTTAAGCAATTTTTAGGAAAAATTGTAAGAAACAGAAAAAGTTACAAAATAAAAAAATCAGTCAATTCTCTCATTAACTTGATTATTTTTTGGGGGGAAAAAAAAGACTACTGTTATTCTCCTTGGTAATTTTATTCCTACAAGATATCTCTTAAAAATACTAAGAGTTATGGGCCAGACTTGTTTTTTTTCTTCTTGTAAAATCTCAATTTTATATACTTTCCTTCCTTTGTTCCAGACCTAGTATCACAATGCCACTGTATATCTTCCAAGCAGAAAATGTATCATAGATGGAGTTTCACATTGTAATTTTGTTATGAATTATTCTAAAATCTAAAGTAAATATGTAGGTCACAGTATGTCAATAAATTAGATGTTCTTTCCTCATTACAGTATTGCTCTTTGGAATCAAGAACGGGAACTGGCATAATGTTATGTCATTTTAGCAAGGCTCTTATTTTTTCTTTTTTCCCATAAAAATTTGCATACATTTATTCTTTCACAACTTCTTGTGGCATGAGATACTAAGTTTGTTTATGGATGCAAGGTTTAATAAACATCCCTGAATATGTGCTTATTTGCATAAATATCCTAATACTTTTATAAAGCTGTAAACAATATGATCATCTGTAGAAAGATGACAAAATTATATGGGTAGGTAAGGCAGCTATCTCATGATTTATAAATAGACTTCAAACATCTATGCATATTCTAACAGCTTTCAAAACTCAGCCTATATATTCTTTTGATGACATACAGCATTTTCTTATCCATAACTTACGTCTTCCACAGTTCAGTAGTGAGCCAATGACCATTGCTCTCTTATTGAAAATACCACTAGTTCAGTGTTTCATTTCTCACAGGAATCCAGGCCTAAAAGAAGATAATTCAAAAAGCTCAAACATGTTGAGAAATATTCTTAAATATTTGACACAATCATACCTTAAACCAAATACACATGAAGAAGCATAAAGCAGTGTATGCTCCAACTCTTTAGTTTTGGCATACATATAATAATTGTGGGATTCTCCCATAGTGCTCCATCAACACATCTATTTCCAGACATGCCGTTCCAGAGCTGTTCTTGAGACTGATCTTCAGCAAAGATCTGCAATTTTAATAAATTGTATTATTTATATAATACAGATGTCTACCACAGTACATTTTATTAAATGTTAGTAAATAATAACGTAATACTAAAAACCAAAATGAAGATAATTATGAAATAAATATTGCAAGAATAGCTAGCTCCAGAGATAAATGTTTTCAAATATAACTTTTTTTCCCAGTAATCCATTTGAATATTTGCATTTAAAATAACCATACTTTAATATTATTTATATTTTCAAAATACTTAGTCTCTAGACCGACCTACTCATCAGGCATCGTAGGTGTTGTCCTTTTGTATTGCCACCATGCTATCAAAAAAAGTAACAAAAATCTTGATTAGGAATGAAGTCATAACATCAGAAGATGGACTTTGCCTAGTGATGTCTTTCCTGGAAGCTGCAGTTTGCTGCACTTTCACAATACCAGAACATGGTTTACATCCCCTCTCTTCTAGAACTGAGTATACGAGTTACCTTATAGCAGATAGTTTTTAATTTTTAATTGCAACCTGATCAACATAAAAAATTCCTACATTTTGTTCATAGTCATAGCTTTTCAGAAGAGATTGCATTCTAAGGATGTTGGCTTTTTTCACATACAGCACAACCGCATCAGACATCTCCATAGCGCTGCAGAGGAATTTCTGCTCTGTATTATTGAAACCGGTTCCTGGGTTGCAATTGTCACATTTGACTCTAGCGCATCGGAAAAAGCTCCTTTGCAACAAATAACCAATGATGCAGCACGCCAAAAACTTGTTCAATATTTGCCTACATTTGCTAGTGGAAAAACCAATATCTGTGCAGGCATACATAAAGGACTTAAGGTAAAGTACAATATGGAAATATCTCCTGGAAAGTATGGAAAATGAGGAAGAAGTGAGAAACATAGTTGAACATGGACTTCCTATGCAATGGTAGAGTTAAGACAGACAATACGATTCTTGAATCTATCAGGAGAAAATATGATATAGAAACTACTTGGAATTACCATTATATGGCATTAGAAAGAGCATTACCAGAAAACAGACCAGATGTGATGTCCATGCTTCAAAAAGGATATTGAAAAATAACATCAAATTACAAAATGAACTACAAGAATGACTGAAATTTTGGAATAATTCCCACAGTTGACTAGTCATGAATCAAGCCCCTAAAATTGTGAAACTACATAGAAATCATGAGATCGGGAAACAATGATGGATACATATTATTATTTATTTGTCTGTTTTACTTCCTTGGGCTGGCAGTCTGAAGTCCTAGAAGATGTCACCTAATTCTGATGCCAAACTGAAAATCAGGAGCAATGTGTAGGAAAAGGGAAGACAGAGAAGGACAGAAATTGTACAGAGAAGGATGAGACTGCTGAGGTAGCCGAGAGTCCAGGTCAGAGAGGAGGCTCAGGACAGGGGGACATCAAGAGGAAGATGGGCAACCAGACAGGGATGGAACAACCAGGACGGAGGCCTCCCCCATGGGTGCTCCCTACCCCTTTCTGCCCCACCTTCACTTACCTCAGAGTCCACCCTTAGACAGAAGTCTGTCCTTCTCTAGTCCTGAAATTTTGATTGGAGAATAAGGAGTTCTAGACAGTGGACATGAAGTTTTTAATACGATGCCCTTAAACATCCAGTTCCTGAACCAGCAAAGCATGTACAGGCAGAATGCTTCTGACATCTTCAATATGGGACAGGTTCCTTCCCTAGGAAAACATATATTAAATACTCATTATTTATAATTGACCACTTAACACATCTAAGCAATCAGATGCTGCAATATCAATTGCAGTAATTAATACTGTAATAGTTTTAGTGTTAAATGAAAATTGAAACACTTATTAAAGAATAAATTTGTCTTATATTTGAAGTTAACAGTTTTAAATGCATACATTGACTGTGCTGTGGGATAAACTAGTATTTAAAAATTGTTCTACTGTTTATATCATGAATTCTTTTCTTGATGCAGTTAATTGCAGATAAAATGAATACTACATATGGTTCAGAAATTGTGTTACTGACAGATGGAGAGGACTCACATATAGCAGCTTGCTTTGATGTGGTGAAAGAAAGTGGGGCAAAAATTCACACCATTGCACTGGGGCCAGAGGCAGACAAAGACTTAGAAGAACTTTCAGAACTAACAGGTAAATATTCTAAATACACAAGCATGCATATTCAAGTATGTAAATGTAAAAGCATGGCAATTCATCAGTCTGGAAAAAAGAAAATTAAGACATTCAAAACAAACAATTTTAATGAAATTTGGTTTTCATAACAGTCTTTTTTAATACAAACAAGCAGAACTTTTTAGATTCATAGATTTAAGAGCTGTCTTGATTTAAAAAATGCAGTAAGATTACAATACCCTATTACCAAGGAGATTTACTTATGATATTGTTATATAACATAAAAAGACATGTCTAGAATTTTATTTCTGGCATTACATGCAATGACTAGAACTTTCTATATGCTTTAACTTATAAGTATTTTTTATCACATAACAAATAATAATTTTCTCCAACTGTTGCGGCTAGGAAATTGTAAGCACAGTGACTACCCTTGTCATTGGCAAGCATAGCTGTCAGCTGAGCTGGAGCTACGTTAATTGAAAACAACTATTTAAAAACTATTCATAGGGGTGTTGCTTCATGCTATGGCAAATGCCATTGAAGAATGAAAACTCCTTGTGTAGATCTAGAAAGCAAACTGACTCCAAACAAATATGGTGAATAAATATTGTTATTTGAGAGGTGCGCATGCTGTGCATTTTCAGACTACAATCCACTTGTTTTAGCAATTTAAATAACTTGGAATGCCTTACGCATTCTTCAGCATCATTAGATCAACATGACTATGGGAAAGTCCAGAGTTCAATTCTCTTCTGGCCTCTATTTGAGACAGAATTTGTTTAAGGTCCACTTGCAAACTATTTATTAGGAATGATTTGTGAGCCAGAAAGAACCCACATGGTTCTTCAGCATGTAGTCTTCAACCAGCTGGCCTTCCTGCTTAGAAACAAAAATCAATTTTCCAAAGATACTAGATCTCTGAGCTAACACCTCCTCCAGCTCACACGACTCCACGTGTTCTCTCATGAGACAGAGCCATACACCTGATGTAACCTGCACACCTTATGTCGGCCCGTGCACAAGGAACGAGGGTGAGAGGCATTAGGTGGTATGGAGGGGCTGTGGGCAGCCTCTGCACACCCCGAGAAGGCTCCCCAGGGCTCAGCGCTGCATAGCAATCTCTCCCCCGCCCTGGGATTCCAGTGACCTGTGCATTAGGAGCACAGTGATGGCTCGCTTGATGTCTGGCACGTATCATCCTAGTTTAAGAGAGAACTGCAGCAAATGCATCAAGTGCAGATGCTTCAGTAGAGCAGTATGAAGCCATATTCACAACATATTCATACACAGACGTGAGCTGAGTACGAGAACCTCCAATGGACTAGAGCTGCTTGAACTCAGTATGCATGAAAAGAGATCTAAACTTCACATTTGGAAATAAAGATGATCTGGATTTTAAGAGTCAAAACCCATGGAATGCCACTGTGTCTTTTCTACAGAGGTATTTTCAGAGCAGAATTTCACTGAAGTGTTAATATGTGACTCCAAAAGTACCAGGAAAAGTCTAAAAATGCTGTACTTGATGATATGCTGCAGGGAGTGATTTTTTTGCAAACATTGCCAATGGGAGATAAAATGAGTTGATCACACAAGCCAGAATTTACTATGACACATGTATTAACATATTAATAAAGACATACATTTCTTTTTTGATTTTGTAACAAATTGGCTGCCTCAGTCGAACATTCAGTACCAGAAATCACATAAAATTTAGCAATTTTAGAGTAAAAAATAGTATTTCTAATTCTTTGCTCTTCTCTTTCAGGAGGTTTGAAGCTTTATGCTGTAGATGCATTTGTCCCCAGCAAATTAATTGAGACATTCAGTGCAATTACCTCGGGAAGCGGAGATATTTCTAAACAATCTATTCAGGTCTGAATTTCAACCCTTCTTTTTCCTCCTATGCTTTTAGTTGATCAATAGTTGAATGAATTTAGACATTAATGATCATAATTGTCAGTGGCTTAATTTGAAAATAGGAGCAAGTACATTTTCTAGTGATCTACATTTCACTGCAATGAAATAAATATATAATTTACATAATTTATATAACTTGATTCCACAAAATCCAGAAAATTTTTTCTCATAATTGTCAAAGTCCAAGAGAATTTGAGAGAAAAAAGCAAGCAGAAATCCCCCAGGATGCTTAGTTCACTCTTATATGAAACATTATCTTTTAGAGCACTTTAATGGTCTAACTTACTTAAGTAATGAAGATACAGTTAAAAATACAGCCTCTCTCCTAAGCCATATGTATAATTTTAATCTATAAACTTTTAGACTTTTCATCTAGGCCAATTGTTAATTAGAAGTTAGCAACTCATTCCTCACTTTGTGAATATTTTAACACAGATCCAGTCCTATGTTTTATCCAAAATATACCATTCACAAAGACAGCCAGATTATAAGCAGCAATGTAGATTTGAAGCAGGTCTGGGATTTGAGTTGTTACATTGCCTTTAACTGACTCTTGCATCCCACCTTTACCAGGAAAAAAATTAAGTTTATGACAGGATATGTTCTAATTGCAGACTTTATTGTTCATAAAATAGAAGGAAATTACACAACATTACTTTTAATAAAGGAAATATTGTTTACTTCTCTCTTCTATATATTCTCCACTATTCTGTTGTTATCTCTGTCTCTCTTATTACTCGTAAGCCTTACAGTCATATGTGGAGACATTTTCTTTCTCTCTCTTCCAGGATTTTGAGACAGACAAACTGCAGTGAAAATACTGCTTACTGGCAGAATGCTTTAGATAGGTAGATAAATAGTTTAGATACAGAAATGAAGGACTTTTACACTCACTGTAACTTACTCTGTTTACCATAATTTTACACTTAAAATCAATGTTACTATGCAAGCAGCCATTTCATAAAGTGAATCTGGGATTTTACTAGTTTTCTTCATTCAATAGCTTTGCAAAATGTCTCTTAATTTTCCTGTAGGTAGACAGCATAACTAGAAAACCTGCCATCTTCTCTACAAAACTCTGAGTTATAAGTGAGCAGAGACCTTTTGTCATGCTACTTTCCAAAAGGCATAAATGCTTTTCAATTATCTCCTCCAAGACTAATCCATTTTAAGTCAGCAATGAATGGATACAGTATTGTGCAATGGATGAGGAATCACTCTGAAAGTATGTTAAATGCTTTTTTACTAAATAGCAATAAGACAAACTTTATTTCTCTAACAACAGCTTGAAAGCAAAGAGCTAGTTGTTCAGCCTTCTGAATGGATGAATACTACTGTGCCTGTTGACAAAACTGTGGGAAATGACACCTTCTTCAGCATTGCATGGAACCAGTCTCAGCCATTTTTTTTCCTGAAGGACTCCAAAGGAAAAGTATATGGAAGCTCAGACTTTACAATCCGTAATTCAAACACAGCTAGACTCAGTATAAGTGGCACTGCAGAGGTAAAGACTGAACATTTTCTTTTATTTTCTGAATTAACATTTCCTATAGACTAGCATACAGCTTCAATTATTTTTTATTATATAAGGGAAATAATGGCACTGTTAGAACACAAAACTTTTTCACTATTTTTTTTTAAATTTTGTATTTTTTTTGCAGGTGGGCAATTGGGAGTTTTGTATTAAAAATGTTCATACAGCAACTCAAACTTTATCAGTAACAGCAACCTCTCGACCAGCATGTTCTAATGTTCCTCCTGTGAGCACTGCAGCTCACATGAGCAGGGCAAAAAGAGCATTTAATCCAGTTGTTGTTTATGCAGAGGTTAGCCAAGGGTTTTTGCCTGTTCTTGGCGCAACTGTGATAGCCACCATAGAGAAGGATGGTGCCGCAGCAGTAACCCTTGAACTTCTTGATAATGGTGCAGGTAAGGTTCCATATATATAGTGAAAACCTTTGCATTTATGCATTTTGGAACCCAAATCTGCATGCTCCCCTCAGATTTATCACTAAGGACTGAGTCATGTCTATGCCCTAAATCAGGAAAAAAATAAAAAGGGAGACAGAGAATCCTACTGCTTTGGGACAGAAGTAAGCTACAAAGCTTTTTCTTGGTGAGGAAAACAAAGACATGGGCCTTTACCTGAAAAAATTTTCCAGTTTCTTTCCTGTGCTATTATTGAGGGTGAAAGCAGAACTGTGCATGGTAGAAGGTACATTGCTCATATCTACTTTCTGAAAGTGTACTTCATCTAATCATCTGCCCTCAAAAGGCAAGGTAAAAAGAAAACAAGCTGTTTTGATAGTCCATCTCATATTCTATGAAGCTGGATTACAGTCTTAACATTGGCTCACTAAAAGTTAGCTTTATCTCTTTTGTATGTTAAATAAGCACGTTATTCTTCTTTTCAAGAATACTCTTTCTTAGAGCAATAGCAAGACATTCCTGGCATTCAGCATCCCTCGATCTCTTTTCATCTCTCCTCTTCCTTTTCTCTCACCACTGCTGTAGACCTGTAGCTTTATAAGTTCAGTAGTAGCCAGCAGTGCCTCCTCATTCTGTCTGTGCTTTCACATTGCTGTACTTAAAAATATAGTAAGATTTCCTGTGTTTCTTAAATAACATCTTTTTTCTGAACCCATGAAGTTATTTTTACATTGCTGTCAGGCTTTAAAATAGTTACCTGGGATGCCACCAGCAGATCATCTACTGCAGCCAGTCAGGTACAACCGCACAAGTTCACTTAAAGAGAAGGGATCCTGTCTTGATGAATTCCTGGCCACGGTTAAATTACGACATTTTTCTAATTTAAAGGTGCTTTATGTAGTAGATTGCCAATATGTATTAATTTGGTGGTTCTGTATAGTAACAAGAGATTTACCTAGTTAAAGGTGCTAATGCAAAATAGTTTGGTTTTTTTTTCCAAAAAGTACGTATGAAATGCAGGTTGTCATAGTAGGACCACTCCTATTTTTAAAGATGTCCGCTTTACAAAAACACTGTCAGGTTTTCTGCATAGTAATGTTCAGGTCTTATATTTATGTATGAATAGCAAAAATAACCTTGTTTAGCAGCAGGTATCTTGTTTGAAATATTAATTCTCAATAATTCTATACCAAGGTGCTGACATGACAAAGAATGATGGAATCTACTCAAGGTACTTTACTTCTTTACAAGGCACTGGAAGATACAGTCTAAAAGTGAATGCCCGTGGGACAAATACAACCACCAGACTTAGCCTCCAGCAAAATCGAGCCTCATATATACGAGGCTACAGAGAAAATGGTAAAGAGCATTTTTGAAACAGACAATTCTTTGCATGGTTTGTATGTAGGGGGGTGTAATGGTTTAGCAAATGGGATCACGTAGATTCACAAAAATTCCATTTGATTTTAAAAGATGCTCTATCTATCATTTTCACTACAAAAGAGCCCAAACAAATCAAACCAGCTCCAAGTACTGTTTCCCATGTATGGGAATAGCATAAAATTTTAAAATTTAATCTAAAAATTATTTTCTCTTACAGCCATGAAAAGGATAAATATTGCTCAGAATCTACATTTCAGCATCTCACAACAGGAATTTCAAATGTATAATTCTTGTTGAGACTTTAAAATGGGGATTTGGGGTAAATAAATTCAGCATGCAACATAAATATGAAAACTAATGCTGCTGGAAAACTTAGCTTTTAAGATTTCTTGATCTTTTAGTACTTTTTCATCTTAATGCTGAAAAAAAATTAGTTGTTGCAATTAAATATTCCCACACTTATACATTGTAAAATTTAGCAAAATCAGCATTAAAATTGTCTAAAAAATTCACAAAGTATGGCCTACGTAACTGAAACTTTCATAAAGCCTGGTTAAAGAAATGGATAGAACTACCTTATTGCAGCAATGGCTCACCAACATCTGCCACCTGCTTTACTGGTTGCATCGTTTCCAATTTTTATACATTTTAGACTTTGTCTGTTTTTTGAGTTTCCTAAATTTTACGCTGAGAATCCTGAGATGACCTTATTTTCTGTCTTTGCTTCACTAACTTTCCACTAAATTTGAATAAGCTAAAGAAAACTTATAGGATAAGAAGAGATAATAAAATATAATAAAAATTTAAAAAAATGCAATTCAGAGTTCTGTCATGATGAAAAGTTGAAAAATGTTTTAAACAGGTAAAATTTATCTGAATGCACCGAGACCTAAATTTGCTGATAAAGAAATCCAAGTCAAGCTGGGAAGTTTCAGCAGAATTTCAACAAGTTCTCTTGTAGTGAATATAGAAGGAGATTCTGCTCCTATTTATCCACCCTGTAAAGTTACAGACCTTCATGCTCGTATAGAAAACAAAACAATAGTCTTGTCTTGGACAGCTCCAGGAGGTGACTTTGACAATGGAAAAGGTGAGTCAGACACTACATTTTTTGTGAGATGAGGTTGACATTTTTATCTGAACGGACATACCCTGGGAACCACCACTCAGGGATGATGGCTATACCTTTCCCACCTGAAAACGTAATGTAACAGAAAGTTACCCTGTTGCATGATACCTGTTTTAGTTCTCCTTATTTTTTCATGTTAAAAAAACCCAAACTAAGTAAATCAAGGAATATTACAAACAAATAAAATAAATGAAATTCTAGTACAACCATTAGAGACTTTAGCAACAAATCTCAGTCTGCACATAATTTAAAAAAAAAATAAGCAGCCAATATGGACAATGCAAAGCTTTAGTCTATTTACAAAGATGTAAATAGACTACAGAGATGAAGTAACATTCTATCCAAAATACTCATTTTACAGTTGTTGTACAGGAAAAATGAAACCTAATTCCAGATGAAATGTACAAGCATTTCCCTGCATAAGCCAGAGATGGTATATTAAAATATACAATCGACAGTCATGCAGATTACAGTTTCAGATTAAAATCTTATATTTATCTAAAATTTTTAATAACCAGCCACACAAGGAAAAAACCTCAAAAAAAATTTCTCAACTTCTTTTACTGCTATTTAGCAACTATATGTCTAAAAACTTTAGTAGCTAAAGTGGTCAGTTATGGCATTAGAGTTTAAGATAGAAGGTCCTGCACTGGTTTGGAGCTGGGCACATCATGCACATCTCTCTACCATCTAAAGAGGAAAAGATATCCATGAGATGAAGAGAGGGGGAAGAGGGGTAAGTCTTGAAAAGCTACAGACTTGAAATAGAAACAGCAGAACCCCCCAAAATTAATCAAACACATTTATAGCAATGTAACTACCAGTTCTTTGATTACAAATGGGAGAATCATTTTGTGTCTTTTACAGTTTTTGCTGTCAAAACCTCATGCTGAGAGAGAGAATACAGATCAGATGCAAGGCCTGCCCCTACTATCTACACATATATTTTAATTGCCATTTCACCTTAGGTTTGTATTTGGATAGCACAGTTTCTCATTCAGCTACATGTTGCGCAGGTCTGCACAAAGCTAAGAGTGTTGGTGAAACAATATTTTTAAGGTGGATTCAATTTCAATTTTTAATTGAAAAGGAGGAGTTTCCAGACTCAGCAACAATAGACCTTTGACACTGCAAAGTAATGTTTAAAAGCAAACTTGCCAACCCTCCATGCTCAGCAACAGTCAGTAGTAAAACAGGAATCATCACCACATTTTTTTACAAAATGGCTCTAGAAGTCTTATAGTGGCTCCACAAGCAGGGACATTAAAACATCTATATTAATTTGTTGTTAACGTGTTCTTTTTTTCCCTAGCTGATCACTACATAATAAAAAGCAGTGAAAATCTTCTGGACTTAAGAAATCACTTTGATCGTGCTACTTCTGTGAATTCCTCTAATCTCATACCTCAGGAGGCGGGTAGAGAAGAAACATTTGAAATTAAACCAGAAAATTTCATAACAGAAAAAGACACCGTAATCTACTTTGCTCTGCGTGCTGTTGATGATACCAACTTGACTTCAGAGGTTTCTAATATAGCACAAGCCACGTGGTTCATTCCTTCAAAAGCATCTGTGCCTTTAGATTATGACGGCAACAATGATGGTGCTAGCAGTACAGTAATAGCGGCAATAGTAGCTCTGTGTGTAGTAGTTGTTTGTACTGTTGTAACTTCAACTCTGTGTGTTTTACAAAAACAAAAGGGAAGAGTGGATATTGAAACAATGCAAAAGCATGTGTAAAATAAAATACAAGGAATTTACTGCAATTTTTGCTACACAAGTTTCAAAGTAGGGAAGGAGGTTTTTGTACATTCAAAAAATCAGTGCACTTATTTTAAATAGACGTATTTGTCTTTTTTGATAGGCTTATAAAAGTAGGTTTTCAAAAGTGTGTCTTATATTCAACTACATGTACACTGATTAAATGTTAAACATGAAAGCATGTACTCAGGTATATAGTAAAGTATGATATGTGTACCATCATTTGTTTCTATGTGATAAAAATACTTAACTCTTCTGTTGTAAGATTTTTCCAATGAAGTGTGCAGTTTTTTCTTAAGCAAAGAAGGCAAAGGAATATGATACATTCCTTGTTTTTATGCTCCACATAACAATCACGTAAGGCAAGGTGGGAAAGAGATCAGAAAAATCTTCAAGTAGTTCAATGATTTCCTAGTATCTTTCACATGTTGTCGGTTAGGCTTAGTGAGCTAAGAACAAAATATGTACCTCCAGGCTGTTTATTTGTCAAAAAATATTTTAAAATATGTACCCCCAAGCTGATTATTTTTCAATAAATATTTAAGTATGTGTATCTACAGGTGTGTAGAAGAGTTGAGTATATCAATATTTTCAGAAGGAGAGTTGCAGAGTATATGCAAATGAGGACATGAAAAACGTTCCCAGGTGAAGACTAAACAAAGCTATAAATTTGGAGTTAGAACAAAGCTTTATATAACAAAAGGTAATTTAAAAACTGTTAATGGAGAAGGAGTGTGAGGGATACAGGGAGAAGGGTGATCTGAATGACTCTTAGGTTGCTGACTAGCAAATTAACAACCGGCTCAAACAAGAATGCTTCAGACTTCTTACATGGCCAAGTAGTTTTTACCTCTGCTTTCCAAAAACTGGAAAAATGTACAATAATAATGAAAAAATGTTAAATTCAACAGTCAAATTATCATTCACAGTCCAGCATTACCCAGTAAATATACCATGTCTAGCAAACATGAGTACTTTAATTTACAAGCTTGATACTATTAACACAATTTGTGTTAGTGGGAATTACACTTTAGAACCAGTATATAATTTTTATCAATAATATAATATACACCCTCAACAAGTTTGCTGATGACACTAAACTGGGTGGTGAGGTGGATATGTCAGAATGAAGAGCCATCTCACAGAGAGACCTGAACAAGCTGGAAGCAGGCTAGCAAGAACAGTATGAAGTTTAACAAAGAGAAGTGCGAAGTCCTGCACCCAGGACAACATAACCAAAGAGCCCAGTAAAGGCTGCGCTCTGTGGCTGGGGAGCTGCCTTGCTGAAAGGGACCTGGGGGTCCTGATGGACAAGAAGCTGAACATGAGTCAGCAGCGCAGCACTGCAGCAACAAAGGCAAATTGGATACTGGGCTGCATCTGCAGGGGCACTACTGGCAGAGACAGGGACATGATCATCCTACTCTACTCAGTGCTTGTCATGCTGCACCTAGAGTACTGTGTCCAGTTCTGGTCCCCACAATTCAAAAAAGACAGACTGGAGAGGGTCCAAAAGGAGGGTCATGAAGATAATCAAAGGGCTGGAGAACCTGCCCTATGAGGAAAGAGGGAAAAAGTTAGGTGTCTTCTCCCTGGAGAGGAGAAGGCTCATAGGGGACCTCATCACAGTATTCCAATGCTTAAAGAGCAGCTACAAAGAGGATGGAGACTCTCTCTTCACAAGGAGCCACATGGAGAAGACAAGGGACAATGGGTACAAGTGGCACTAGGAGAGGTTTCATCTTCATACAAGAAAGAAATTTTTTTACAGTGAGAGCAATCAATCATTGGAACAATCTCCCCAGGGACATGGCAGAGCCTCCATCACTGGAGGTTTTCAAGATGGACCTAGACAGGGTGCTAGGTAATCTCATCTATGCTCCCTTTTCCATGAAAGGTTGGACTGGATGATCTTTCAAGGCCCCTGCCAGGCTAAGCTGTTCCATGATTCCATGGTTTTCCTGCATACACCAAGAAATCTATGCAAATGTTGAATAATCATCTTAAGTTTTCTTCTCTGTCTTTGTATCTGCAACATCAAATTTTGCCCTTTGTTCTACCCTACCTTTTACTTTTTAACAGCACCAACTTTTTAATATTTTAATGGAATTTGTCTACCTTTCCTCTCCTATTTTTATACTTCCCACAAGGTCTGCTTTTTCTTTATCTAGGTTTCCCATTTTTTGTGGGTTTCTGTACTTCTACATAATGCCATCTCTTAATGAACCTTACTATTGGATGCGGTTTCAGATTTAAAATTCCATTTCCCCAAGCAATAATAAATGTTGTAGTTTCAGTTCACATCAAGGCCAGAACAGCTGTCACATTTTAGAGGAGACAGACTCCTTTGGAGAAGAGAGTCATAAATCAAAGCATTATTTGCTGATAGCAGTTTTCTCTAACAGTTTTTAGGTCACTGAACATCCATTTATTCAGAAACATTTCCTTTTGTTTGCTTCTGAAGTGCCATCTTATTCCCTAAAGTACTTCTGCTGCATACAAATTATTTGGTAGGAAATACATCACCAAATCAGAATAAATGGGTTGCAGCACTGTTCCTGGAACTATTTCCTAGAGTTACGTAAAAATATGAGAGACCTTACATAGCCAATCTCCATGATCCAAGACAACTCATCCATTACTCTGTACCCGCCTATCGAGCAGAGCTGCAGCAGTCTATTGCGTGGCGAAGCTGACATCTAGTGGGCTCCGACAACACTTCCAGTTTCCCCCAATGTTCCAAAAATTGGTTTAGGTCAACGCATCTCTCTGAGATACTCTGACCTTAGTATAAATACATATTTAAAAGTACAATCAAATACAAATAGTCGAAGGTTGAATTTAGTACTTAAGGCTAGCTCTTACTATAGGAGCATGAAGATGATTTACTTGAATTCGGAGCTTCAGTTTACTGAGCTCTGTCTATAGTAAAAGCTCTGAAGAACTCAGTTCAAGTAACTCAGAATTCAGCACTCCCCCAAACATCTCTGCAAAAGGCAAACAAAATTTGCTCTTTCATGCTTCCTGATGAGCAAGTGCAAAATGACAGGGTAAGACTGTCTGACTGATTTCAATGATTATGTTTACACTAACAGAACTAGACTCAAAAGTTATGTGGGCTGGGGTCCCAGTAACTGACACAACTGCCAAATGCCAGTTCAGATTAGCTAGAAAAGATGGGACAGTTAAAGTCAAAACCATATAAGCTTTATTCCTCAATATGGTCTTCCTAATGCTCTTAAAATAATTTCAGCTTCCTACACAGACCTCACGGTGTTCCACAGAGAAAATAAGTTTAATTATTCCTATGCCACATGTGGATAAAGTGACTTTCCCACAGTCACCAGCAGGGAAGTGGTAGAGCTGCAAATATACCTCCAGTCATTAAACTATCATTGTACAGCAAAAGGAAGAACCCCCAAAATTCTAAATTTTATTTCCACAGGGGCCAGTTATGGCCTATAGAATTTTCCATACAAACTTCCTCCAAGTATAAGATAGACAGCTTCTTCTACGATAGACAGCTGGGGTATGGGACCAAATTATTATCCTGCTGGGTATCAGACTAACCCATTATGGCTCCAGAAGTACGATACTGAAAGGACAAAGATCACAAAAACAACACATGATTTACCTAGTATGGCTCCCTGAAATTTCAGGACTTTTGCCTACTGAATGTTTCGCCAATTGCTGCATGCAGTCCTAGTACAACTCCAGTTTAAGTGTTTAGGGGAAGCACAGCAACAGCTGCTGTAAGGATCAGTGGAAGAGTGCACTAATGTGAAAAGGAGCATTAATTCTCACTCAGATAGCTGTAGTTTCTGAGCGGAAGTGTGCTGTTGAGAGCAGCTGCTTTCTAGTTCTGTCAAATCCAGTCCCCAGATTTTTCATGAAAGCCTGATTGTACACAGGCCAGGCAGCTGGCACTATTGATTTTATAATCTTTGCCTGGTTATTAACAAGCTAAGCTCACAGTTGTTAACATTGGCACAGAAGCTATGGACTCACACACAAATGCCCGTACCTATTTTAGTAAACCAAGCTTTGGCTATTAGAGAGAGGTAAAATTTAATAATATTTATTTAAAATGACACATTCTGCTCCTTTTATTTGTATATGTCTTTTCACCACATTAATAAATGTTACATCAAATTTACCTTCAGATTTTCATGCACATCTATTTTGAAAACCTGTTTCCAGGATTGCTTCAAAATATTAGTTGGAGTTTTGCAGAGTTGACCGGTAACACGTTGCCAGAACTCTTCATTTCCCAGTGTTTAACTGCATTAAAAGACAACATAAACACATAAATATTCATAAAACAGCTGTTTTATGCAAATATATGCTGCAGGTACATAATCATGAGTGGGAAGGGGAACAGTGTACATACATGCAGTGACACAAGATGTGCCCCATATAACTCAATGTATTATAGAATTAAATATGTATGAATTCTAATATGGGTACTACATTATTGGGATTACACATCCTACCACAATGTGTACTGTTTAAGGATATGGTCCAAGACGCATTAGCATCAAGGAAAGAATATTGGAAATACTCCCAATGGATAGACTAGATATTGGTAAGTGGTATTCAAAGGATTGCTTTAAAATTCAAATATTTTAGGATGATACATTCCTTAAAATTAAAGCACACCTAAATAGCAAGGTCAACAAACAAAATAAAAATTGACATTATCTATCAAGCCATTCTGAACCATACTAAACTGTGCTAAATATACAATATTTCTGCAAAGTGGCCTTAAAAAAATGCTCAAGATTTCACACACTTTCAATGCTTTTGATTTTCATCAAGCTTTTCAAGAAAAGCCTAATGACAGGAAATAAAATCTTAAGATTAATTTCTTCACAGATGAGTCTGACACAGAAACAAAGTTAGTACAGAGTTAGTAACAGTGACTGTGCTGCAGCATCTAGTTATTCAACCTACAGATCTCCAGCTTCTTGCCCTATTTT